TTTTAATATATGAATCTATAATTGAATAAGTCGCTCATAATTCTATCTTTAATATTGTTCACACCTATTACTAAGCGATGTAAGAAACGAAATGAACTGTTCGTAAGTAGTTTCGTATAATTGAGTGTTTCATTCCTTTTTGTTCTCAACACTCATATGTATAAGATAAGAATAACAAGAAGACTGACCATACTGTTCGAGATACATTACTTTTTGGGACACCATCATCTGCAAATACACATAATAAGGGTTTATGGTTACTGCTAGTAACACCTTCACGTGTTTGCATTGTTAAATCGTCACCTGTAGTTACAGCATAATCTATTGTACGATTTGAACGAAGTGATATGTTAGAATTAGGAATTACGGGCTTAAGAAGATACGAATCTATCCACTCAAGTAGTTGATCAGCTTTTTCATAATCTCTTTCGACATCAATATTACAATTTCCCATGATAATACAGCAATTGGGCGTGGGTGTGGGTATGAGTATTGTGAAAAAGAATGCACACCCACACCCACACCCACACCCTATTGTAAGGTTGGGCCAAAAGTAACCGAAGTTGAGAAATCTGAATTTGTAATCAGTGTCTTGAAATTTTGAGTTCATGTTTTCAAGAAAAAACTCATTTTTTACGAAAATAAATAACTTTTTACAAAAAGCGTAAACTATTAGCAAAAGAATGAATATTTTCTCAAAATATGATTTTTTAGTTAAAAAAAATGACTTCTTTCGTAAAAAAGCTTTTTGTTGAAAAACGAAGTCAAAATTCCGAGAAATCAATGTTAAGGTAACGAGGACACTTGTCGCGTTTCCATTCTTCTTCCTAGGAAAGGAATGCAAAAGTGACACCCCTTACCCATATAGATGGCCATGCCCACTTTTTTGTTTTATGTTGTTTGTTTAGTAGAAAGAAAGAAAAGATTCTCAAATAGAGTAGTAACGATGTTTGTTATGATTGTCGAACACTGCATTCTATTTCAGCATTTTATGCTGCTTTTTTCACTTGTTATAATTTCCACCCCTAAATATAAACATAATCTGTAATGTCTCTTTTATAATGGCTAAAGCACAGCTTTGTTGAATGATTCATAACAAGATAATAACAGAAAGTAGGCACAGAAGCGAGCAAACTCACCAATTTTGAAATCTTTAACTTATCTAGCTTGACACTTCCTTCACCTGTTTTATATTAGTCTCAATGAAAAAGTTCATTGTTACCACATCATTCCAAGCCTCTGAATACTTTCAGACGCCAAAAAGTATCGGAAGTTGGCTATTTTGTTGTCATCATTACAGAAGAAAGCCATACTTCGTAAGCAAGTTTATTGATTCAAATAATCTTTCTTGACTTACTCGCTTCTTCTTCATCGTTCCTTAACGATAATGTGAAAATGCGAGATGTCTTTCAAAACGAAAATAAACTTTTACACAAATTAACTGTTTTTTTTCCTATAAAATGTAGCTACCCACGTAAAAAAATTGGGAGTGAAATCAGATTAAAATCTATTAAAATATGATTAAAAATCAATTTCAATCATATACCTTTTGTTCGAGTTTTAATTAAAAAAATATCCAAAAAAAAATCAGAGTTTCAGCGCTTCGGTTAATTCCGATTAATTCCGATTAGAATTTGATGAAAATCAACTGAAGATATTTTTATGCATCACGAACACAAATCAATCCAAATTGATGTTTCTCATCAAATTTTAACGGATTATAATCGAAATTAATTGGAATTAACTGAAACTCTAATTTTGTTTTGGTTATTTTTGATTAAAACTCGATCAAAAAGTATATGATTGAAATTGATTTTTGATCATTTTTTAATAGATTTTAAACTAATTTTATCTCTAACTTTTTTTACATGACTAGAAGAAGACATTTTTAATATTTGATCAGTCGTAGAATCGCTATTAAGTCCAGGTTCAAACTAATTAGAGTGCAAAAAAGATGTATGCATTTTTTGATGCTCTAGTTTCACCTCCGCATTTGTTGTTTCATGATATATTTAAATGTCCTTTTTTCAGAGGTTGCACTCTTTCACAATGCACTTTTTTCTTTTTTCAAGGTGAATGATCTACGTCATGTTGAATTAATATATAAATAACAAAATGGCAGTGAAAGAATGACAAATTCCTCGCCTTTATAACTTCACAGGAGTTCATTCTTTTTTGATCGAGTTAGTGACAAGATAAATTTTAGATAGTTGTAGCGATTAAAAATTGATTATAATGGCACTATTTTAGTCTGATTTTAATCAGACTTTTCCGCTTTAAATGACAGATTTCATTTGATTGAATTCTTATAAATCTATTTCAATCGACTATAATTGATTCAAGTTTTTTAACCAATTGAAATAGATTAAAAAAGATTCAGTCAAATGAAATCTATCTTTTAAAGCTGAAAAATGTGATTAAAATCAGATCAGAATAGCGTCATTATAATCGACTTTTAATCTGATTTTCAACCCGTTCTTATAAACTTTTTCACATGGGAAATACTGGTTTGGTGCGTATCTATTCTATTTTAATCTCATTTTTCGTCAAAAATTTTTCACGTTGATGTCGATATTGGATGTTGTTATCGGTCGCTCCCACAAAACTGTGACACGCAAGAGCAATATACATGGCTGATTTGTAGGCTTGAGGAGCACTTCGCATACTAACAATTAATCTGTCGGAGGTATCGTAATTTGCGACACTTTCTCGAAATATTGTTTGAGTCTCATTGCTACAATTTTGCCCCTATTCATCTCATAGAGAAGTGGATAATTTCTATTTTTCTGCTGATTTGAAATAGATTATACTTTTATTCCTTACACCTATTCCTCGAGTCTCAAGAACGAGACGACAACATTCGAAGATGTTACAGTAATGTCAAACTTGAAAGTTGAATTAATCATTGAAGATCTATCGAAATACTCAATTATTGAATAATAGAAGTAAAGATATTTATATATTCAAATATTATTTCTGCTCTTCCACTTCATGCTTGAGAAAGAGGTCGCGCATGAACGTGTTTACGCACTTCTTTTTTTTCTTTCACTCTTATGGAAGAGAACATATGTGTTTCACTCCCATCATTACCGAGAGCAACGGTTGAATATCGATATATCTTTAGTTCAGATTTTCAATACTGTAAGCTTCATATTTCCATGTTAAATAGAGTTAGAAAAGTGAATCTTTCGAGAAAATGTAAAGAATAATAATAGATAGCTACAATAAAAACTTCATGAAGATTGGTTAAGGGCATCTGATTTTATCTTAATTTTACGGTTGCAACTTCAAATAGTATAGAGAACATACAGCTAACCCATATTTTGTAAGAAAATGGAGTTCAAACTTTATCAATATAGATAAAGTGTATACAGTTTTTCTAATTTTTAATATAGAACCATTTGTTACGACCAATTTGTCTCTACCTTTTGAACTGGATTTGAAAATTCATTTCTGAATCTTTCAACTGCAACTTCAGTTAATAATAGATATATTCTATCTGCTCTTGTTCGTCTTACTCAACAAAATACATTCCATCAAAATTTGTTGATAAAGTTTGTCTTTATTTTTAGAAGATAGAAACTTATTATCATTTCTATTCCAATTGTGATTGTGCTGAACTTGCATAGATTTATCATAAAAGATGCGCTGGTATAAAATTCATGCAGTCTCCCAAATGGGACACAAGATGTCCACTGGGTCTACTCACTATTGTGGCATTTTTCGATCGTACGAGAAATATTATGTATATACGATCACTTTAATAAGTCTCTTCATCGTATTTCAATTTCGCATATGTCTTCTTCATACAAATAAGAAATTAGATTTACAACTGACTAAAGCGATAGAGACTTATTCACATTCATCCAAATCTATGGTCTACCAATCTTGGCCGAAAATATTCAATGAACATTGTAATGATCCATTTCCAGTGGCAAACAGAAAACGTAATTCCTCTATGAACTATTTGGTACACAAAAATGAGTTAGTCAATTTGATAAGCATAGTGCAACAATCTCGTTCTCTTATGTATTGTCCTGTTCCAAAAGTAGCAACAAAAACTCTTCTTACTGTTATGCTATATATGCATATTCGTGACATCAACGAACATCTCAATAATAATTGGAGAAATATTGATGCTGCTAAAGCTCGAACGGAACAAATGATCAATATTTCTGCATTCATCGAAGAGCTTCGACAGGTATGACGAAGAAATAGTGACCCTATTTGAATGATCTCCTATATTTTTGTCTGAATCTTTTACTTTAGAATGGAATCACAATTCCGAAAACAGAAGAACCAAAATCTCTTGCCACATTTCTTCGCATCTACCTTGATATCCTTCGATCCGGTAGTATCAATACAACATCCTCTTCTCTACCTCTGAATCCTTGGAGACTCAGTTTCACATTCGCATTTCCTTATCTTCGTCTTCATAGTCTCTCCAATTTGTCTCAAATATTCTCTCCATCTTTCACCCGAGTTATTTTCGTTCGTCATCCATTTGAACGTCTTGCGTCAGCTTATAAAGAGAGAATTGCAACGCTCAAACAAGATAGAATTCAGCCGGAACCTGAATACGACGCTATGCGCGACATGATCTGTCGACGTATGCGACCCAGGAAGCTCGGCCAACCATTAAATAAAAGCGATGCATGCCTAGGAATGGTCCCTTCATTTGAAGAGTTTGGTCGATTCATTCTTATCGGCACTCACAGACCTGGTAGAATTGCTAAAATGAACTATCATTGGCAGCCATAGTCAGTGCTTTGTCAAGTCTGTAAATATAAATATAACTTTATCGGTAAATATGAATCGTTCAACGATCACTTCATCGATTTTCTCAAACTTGTGAATCTATCTGATTGGAATATTCAACAGCGAAACGGTGCATCAGGTCTCACTACATGGGATTATCAGAAGTTTTATTCAACCTTGCCAGATGAACTAATCTGTCAGCTCATACGTCTGTATGAGGAGGACTTTCGTCTATTCAACTATCGAGTTGATACTTATATTAATCGAACCACATTGACTCAAAATTGTAACATATTGAGAACATTCTAACTGATCTTGAATGACTTGTCAAAGTTTAAGATCTAACAGATCCGGTTGGTCATCGATTGGTTCAGAAAATTTTTTAAATCAATATAAACTGGTCATTTTGTTAAATAATTTTTCATTGATTAAAAGTAGTGGTTTCACACAAACTTTTTGTTTTTGTAAATAAATTTTTATGAAATTTGATAAAGAAAGACTATACTTTGCATCTTGAAATAGATAATCCCTACAAAAAGGAGAATATTGAATATTTCTTCATAACAAATATAAAAACCCTAAACAGAAATCTATACATAAGTCTAGCCCATATTTAAGGAAAATCTCTTGGATTTTATTACCAATCAAGTATGTATTTAAAGAAAGATATATGGTACAAAAAGTCAAAAATACTCTATAATACCACTGAGGGCCAAGCAAATGATAATACATTAGCTCTTTAGACTTCGACGATAGTTTAAACTATTTTAAAAGAAGAGTTTAAAAAGACATATGACACCTTTTAAGAAAAGAACTGAACTTAATTGATGGCCTGTCCACGTAACGGTACACCTTAGTGGGCGAAGTTGACCTACTCAATTACTTGAAACCATTATGACCATTGTGTAGAGCAATGCCGATAACATATGAAAATATATTTTTTATTTACATAGTTCGGACATTCCTTAGAGAAAACTGCGCTACGAAAGAGATATGTCTTAGAAGCGAGAAAAGTCAATATTTATGATGGTTTCGTATTTGAAAATTTTTTATATAAATAAATATAACTTTTCCAAAATCTCTCACAGTAAATAACAATGCTTTCGATACTATACTCAATAGTAACAAAATGACTACGTTTCATCACTTTCTCAGAAAATTATTTACATTTGTAAAGGTAATACATTGGTAAAGGTGATTCCGTCACGAAAATTACTTTTAATTCATTTTTAGTCAGGAACATCAAGTTTTTCATTCTAAAAAGCAGTGCTCTAAATATAGTTTTTTGCGCTCTATACAATTAGTGGATCGCTTATTTTGATAAACATTCTGGCTGATCAAGAGGATCGTGAATGAATCACCCTCAAACGATTAGGTTTTCTTCACAATACTTGGAAACAGTAACTTTCTCTGAAGTTGTGGATCTAAGGAGAGGTTAGCATGTGTAGAACTGATTGTAGAGCCCGATTAGCTCATTTCGGAGTCATTTTATGATAGTTTCCAGTTCTTTTTATGACATGGGTTGCGGAAGCCATTTGGGAGGCATTATGCGTAAGTCAAAACCAAACCCAACAGAATCTTGCTCAATTAATCACACCAATATGGCTGATATTTTTACAGTAGGTAGGCGTAATAAAGTTAAGGTGTAGACAATTCAAACTTTCAGTGAAATTTTTTTTCGCATTTTTTTTACATCATTTGATAGAGCTTAAGCTGTTGATCACGAAAAACTACTTTTCGACCTTAGCAAATGTTTCCTTCCGATCGAAAAATACGAAATACTCGAAAGATATTGTTTTTAGAGAAAAGCATATCCTTTCTCAAAATGTGCAAAATTTTCTACTTTATTCTTGTATTTTGCTTCTGAAAGTAACTTTTTCAGATTCAGCATCGAAAACTGAATACAAACAAGTTGTTAAATAGACTGTAGACTGAAAACTCTATGAGTGATGGCCTTTCGAATCGCGTCGAGTGCACCACGTATAGGTCGACTTTGTAAACCTATCTAGTTTTTCTATACAAGTGATGGAATCAAATATTTTATCTCCTTATATTCATCATACCACGCTTCCACATGCCTAGTATCGGTTTCTTTTCTTTCCTTTCCGGTCTTGAGAAAACCCGTTTTTTACTGGTATCATAGGCATTTTAGGTTGAATTCCACGTTATCTTGAAAAAAAAAACATTATTCAGAAAAATTAACATGACTTTTGTTGATTGATTTTGTCTACTTCGGTGACCTTTCTTATATTTAAAAGTATGAAAAACTTGATAACAAAATTTTTCCTGTTTCTTATCGTCCAAAAGAGTTTTGTCTTTTGGATTTTGCTGTGCATTGTTATGCTCGGAAGCACTTATATAGATATATGTAAAAGTAATTTGCAATCACAACAAGAAGAATCTAGGCAATGTAGGCATAATTACATTGACACGACATTAGACTACAGTGTGAAACTTGGAATCACATGTGTCGGAAAAAAACGAAAATCGAAAAAATAAGCAGTGCAATGAAAAAGAAAAGGAACAAAAACGAGCGAGGCATCTGAACGCACATAGAGGCATTCAATTAACAAAATTAATCCACTTAAGCGGTAGATGCTCATGTCTCTCGTTCAATTTTTTCACTTTTCCCATCCGAAAGAAATGACCACGGCTATCTACTTAACTTTTGTTGAAGTTTTCGCAAAAAAAAACACATATATCATGATGAAAAAGAGATCGTCCTAGATCAGACTTATGCATTTATTTTAATCTTTCTTTTATGTATCTTTTATCGTAAAAATCGAATGGTTCATCATTTGTCACGGAGAACAAATTCTCTTCTGACGCATAAGGACACCAATGCACCAATCTCATTCCGATTGGAAACTTCCGTCTCAAGGTTTCTTGATGAGTTTTCTGAAGAAAAGGAAATAGAGGAAAAAACCAGGTGAGATAAGGCAATGTATATGCAAAAAATCATTTTTGTAATACTGATGTTGATAATGATTTTCCTGCTTGTAACCATTTCAGTCTTCCAAAGAGACCTCTGAGCACTCTCTCTATATATGTCAATGGTTGGTTTTAGTGACAGCTTACTAGTCCAAGTAAAGCCTCGATATTTAATAGACTTCACTAATTCTATTTTTTTCCCATCCATGAAAATATTTAATAGAGGCATTTTTACTTGAGAGAAAAAATTTGACCTACAGCCTTACTAATGGATGTGGGGATGTGGATGTAAATAAGTAATAGATCAATACCCATACCCATACCCTACATTGATACCCGCATCACAGTGATATTATTGACTTTTTTCATGGACAGCCGTACAATATATAGATTCAGATTGATGAATCTTTTAGCAAAACATGAAATTGAAGAGGTTACGCAACCCGAAGAATTTGATGCATTAAACGGAATTTTTGAAACATATTACCCTTATATGATCAATGATGCACGATGACTAGAACAACAAGCTGTTACTTCTATCTGAGAAGTTTCATTTTTTCTTTTTCTGTTTTTATTCTTTCTATTTTCATCATGTTTTGTTGTTAACCTAAATTTTTCAAGAATAAACAACACATGTTATCCATAACACTATATTTTCACGGAAGAGACGGGTCGGAGAATAAAGAGCGTTCCATGAGAGTGAGACAGAGAGGCAGATGACGGAAGTTAGTGGGTGTGAGTGTGGTGTGGGTCTGAATTAATACTACAGAAACACATCCACAACCACACCCACACTCTTGCATTTGTTAATATCGCTGTGCTCAATTTGTATTGTAGCATTGGATAAACATTGTGCTTTTCTTGCGTCAAAGATAGAGAAATGTTCTTCATTGCAAAATTAATCAGTATGCAACAGAATTGTACAGTCTTCAAATTAATACAATTCAGTGCTGCTGAATAGTTCTTTTTTTTTTAATTATTTGCTATTTTTTATTTAAACAATTTTCGAAGTATCTAATCAGCTATTGAAATTATCATATATTTAACAACAACTTCACCTGCCTGAAATGTTTTGCATCCAAATAGTTTCCGTGCATTATTTGTTTGATTGGTAGTATTTTTATCTTTTTACTCAAAACAACCCACTCAACATCTGTGCATAGCTAAGAATAAAGTTTTGAATGTTGGTCATTGAGCGATATAAGGTGACTCATAGAATGTATTGCATCATACCTGTGTAATTTTCGCCACGTAGTTAAAAGATAGAATCTATATATATTATGTTATTCATTCCTCGCTGCAAAACATTTATACTCAGTTTTAATAGAGGATAAACAAATTTTTGAAGTTCTAAATTGCTAAATCGTTCGAAGCAATTATTCAACAAGAAACTTACATTTTTTGTGAATAATTACTTTTAGAACTACATCCATCTTAGATTTGTCTGTTATCAGGGCGATTTCATACTCAGTATTAAGTGAAATCAACACAAGTGATTCGCTTCATCTTCCCGTTCATTGTATTTTAATAGAGACTTTCTTTGAATATTTGCACGAAATATCAAACGAACCGAGTTTTATTCCATCATTTAAACTAATTAGAGAAAACATCGATTAAGGTAGCTTTTCATGCATGCAGACAGAAAACATAAAGTACCAATTTCTAGAAGGTCAAAAGTTGCAGTATAGAAATACTGTATTAACTTTATCCGGACTTCAACACTTATAATCATGAAAAGAAGGCTTTCTTCTTAACAAACCTCTATTAAAAAAGAATTATACAGTAGAATATGAGAGATACTATGAAAATTATCATCTATATAACATTAATTTAGGTTACTGAGACGTTTTCTTACATTTTGTTATTTTGTATCACAATCCTTCATAAATTAATTTTTTTCAATGCTAACCATTTGAATAGAATATTCTACTTTCATTCAGGGAAAACAACTGTCTTTAATGTTGCACAATTTGGTAAAGATTTCATGCCAAGATTTACTATTGGTATAGATACGGCAGTCATACCAGTGGACAATATTTCTATTTTGGCTTTCGATGAGGGTGGACGTTGCCGAACTTGTAGTCTTTTTCGTACTTTTCACTATAGAAGTTCAGGAATTATACTAGTGATCGATTCAACCAATAAAGAAAGCATTAATCAAATACGAGATGAACTTTTTCAAATGTCAAATGAAGAAAAACTTCAAAATAAATCTATTCTTATTTTTGCTAATAAATAAGATTTACCTAATGCAATGCCACCGAATGAAATACAAGAGAAACTTAATTTAACGAAACTCAATGGACATATGAAATGGCATTTGCAACCAGCTTGTGCCATTCAAAACGAAGGTATTCACGAAGGCTTTGAATGGTTAGCAAAGTCTATGGTCGAACAAGTTGATCTAACTGAACCGATCAAAGAGACAATGACAGATTTGACCAAATGGGAAAATCGAGTAATGTCTTTATGGAAGACAATGGATTTTAAATCACTTTGGGATATATTTACTCGATTCTTTTAATTCAAAAGAAATGTAATTTTTTGATCATTTGAGAAGAACATGTGAAATAGAATATAATTATTTTTCTTATTTACTTGTTAGCTTTCGATAGAAAAAAAATATATATGATACAACTGAAGAGAGAATTTTCTTCTATTCTGACAAACAAAAAATATTCATATATGATTTCACAAATGTAATAGACTGAATTTTATTTAATAATAAAAAGATGCGTTTGAAGATATTTATTTCAACAACATTCACACGTGCTACTGGATGTGGATAAGGGTAGATGTAAATATCAATAACCCCAGCATTCATACCGTATTTGCCAGTGAGAAAACAAAAACTGAAATACAGTGTTGACTATTATAAGTTTCTATATAAGATATAATATTTACTACTGCGACATTATAGTCTGATAGAAGACCGTTTGTCACATAGGGAAATAATGTTTTTTCGTGTTGTTTTTTTCTTTGAGTTAAACATGATTGAAATTTTACTTGTCTCCATTCAGCTTTCATTTAGAAACATGTAAGAACGAAAGCAGCTACTTGAATTAGTCAAGCAACATACTGTTCTTTTGCGTTCTGTTTCATGTGATTGAATTAAGAACCTTCCACAATATTTTTCTCTGCTCTGACCATAATTACACTTATCGTTTCTTTCTATTACACAGCAGAATCAGAGAAGTAATGCTTTTTTTGCATATTTTGTTTGATGTGCACAAAAAAACATTTTCTCTCAAAAAAAGGTACGATGACGATAGGAATGTAGTGTACTAAGGAATACAATCACTTCAGTGTCCACTCACTTTGAATATTTTTCTGGATCCAGTAGTAGGTTTTGATGGTCATACATACGAACGTGAAAGTATTGCCGCTTGGTTACAACAACATGGAACAAGTTCTATAAGACGAGAACTAATGAATGCTGAATTGCTTCGTCCGCATCATATTGCACGTGAAATAATTGAGAAATTTACAACGAATTCACAGGAGAAAGAATGCCGATTCCGTTTGAATGTCGATTTATTTCAAACCGAAACACGTCATCGGTTTCAAACATTTGACAAATCCATCTATAAACTTGAGTGGAGTAATAAACCGGATTGGGTGTGAATGTGAGAGAAGCCACTGTCAACACCGGCACCGACACGCACACCCATGGTGTTGATTGCCGTTCTGGGCACATACATAGTATTTGTCCGACTGCTTGAATCAATGAATATTGTTTTCATATTTGTATACTTTCGAATATTACATTGGACTGTATCAGTGAGAATGAGGAAAACAAAAACCATCGATATTGAATCGACAGTAACAGTGGTAATGAAGGGAGAAACATAAACAGAAACTAAAATTCTTCATTTTTTGAACGAAGTTATTCGTCTAGTTTCGACTATCTATGTATTCATTGTCAAGAATCACTAAACACAATCAATAATTTCAATCATTTCTCCTAAATCAATAAAACATTACGGTCAAAGATAAGAAATTTTCCTTTAATGTTAAATGATGATGTTCGAGAATCATCGAAGAAAATGAAATTGTCATAATAATAAATGTATGATTCTCATCATTGTCACTGTTGCTGTCGATTCAATATCAATGGTCTTTGTTTTCTCTCTCTTGCTAATAGAGTCCGATATGATATATAAGAGTATACGAATATGAAAACAATGCCCGTCAATTCAAGCAGTCAGACAAATACTATATATAAGTAAATCAGCATGTTTGAATCTCTATTTGTGGAATTTTTTTTTTTTTGGTGCATATGAATATATGAAAAAATTCTTTTGTTAATATACTAGAAGTAGAGAAATATAGTTGTAAGAATTTTTGACATGTCTGAACTGAGTTCAATTTTCATCACAACATCCGAACAAACGGATACAATAGTAAGTATATGACATCTTCATATGTCTTTTGAAATTTGCAATAACAAACGAAGCCGTTTTTGGAAAGAATAAATCTCGCTGAATTCCTTTGGTATCATATTATAGAAAAACTCTAAGAATTATTCTTGAATTTTAACAGGAAGATTTTCAAACAAAAAACATTTCTAACTTTGAACGTTGTTCAGATGTAATTTTATTTATTTTCTATTTAGAATAGTGATGTAGAAGAAAGTGACGATTTTAATATTTTTGACAATGATGATGAATTTATTGATATTATTCCTTCTAAGTTTTTTATCAATTTATAACAAAAAAAAAAGATAAATTTATTATTTTAAAGCTCCTTCCATATATGAAAATGAAGTTCAAGGTATTGATTCATTATCCAAATGTTTTGAACAACGTTACAATAATTACCTTATGTTTTTACGGTCTCTCTTAAAGATGCATGTCAAGCAGCTTTTGGTCCAACTATAATTCTAGAAGTTCGCCCAGATAGTTTTTCTTCTTACATAAAATACTTCGATCTTTCATATTTCAGCGTCGTTCAATACTTATTTACATATATCATGGCGACAATCAATTTAGGAAAACATTTTGTAAGACTATATTTTATTCAAGCACGATTGTCAGATTATTTAAATGTAAATTATGTTGTTTGACTATACGAAATTACTTCTAAATCGAATAGATATATGTAAATTATATGTCAATTTGATTACTAAAATTGAGTTTTTTTATTCAGTTAACAAAAATTTGGGAAAAAAACATTTTCTACTCAATTTTTTGATAATTTTTCTATTGAGCAATGTCCTTTACTTATCGGTGTTATGAGACTATTTGAACACAAAATAGATGGTATCGGGTGTGGGTGTGAGAGTTCAATTCATTCCATTCCACATCCACACCCCAGCACTCCAACAGCATTCTACTGGATATTGCTTGAGCAACGTTATCCATATGGAATTTATTCAAGAGCTCTATGTTCATGTAGTAATTTCATATGAGTATAATGCTTATCACTATTAATAGGAAAGCTGTTCACATCGAATAGTCAGATTATTCTTTATATTTTTAAGCAAGTCTTTAATTTTTTAACTACGAAGTAAACCTGTTCGATGATTATTTTTATTGAAAACTTATTCAAATAACTTTCAAATGCATTAACTCTGTAACCATAAATGCAGTTTAGTAAATTTTCAAATCTTTGTTTTGTTCTTATGCCATACTATACTGGCATTAGCCTAATTTATACTGATCAAATGATGGAAAGTGTTTTTATATCGCATACTATTTCGGATATAAATCTAAGTAGCTGAAAATGAAGTTCAAATCTTTTTTTTTTATTGTGAATTTTATTTAGTCATATTCTGAATGTAAAATGAGAGTATAATTGCATAATTTGATAACTGCTACTGTTCAACAACATTAACCTTGGACAATGATTCAATAATCGATTGGAATGAATCTTACGATGTAATCTCATTTGAATTTTTCACCGAGGTTAAAATCAATTCTTTAGTAGAAGTTGTATCCGCTTCATTCTCACTCTCTGACGTAATCGCATTACAATTTTTCACCGTTTCGGAATTCGAATCTAGGTGATTATTTGAAAAAGATTCAATGATGGTCGATGTTGATTGAGATACTATGGTGTCCTGATTATTCGAAACATCTTCGTTTGTAATCTCTATAAACTTCGAAAAAAGTTTATTATAGCTCGTTGTTGGGTGAGTTGAAGAAGAATGTTCACTAGTGATGGGGTCTTCTACACGTTGATCGAATTGTAGTCGTGCATCCTGAAGACAGCTGATTGTTTCATCTTTTCCCATGGTATCGTTAATAATTTTGGTGATTTCATACTTGCCCAAATGAAATGATAAACAAATAAGTAATGGATAGGCATCAATATTAAATAGACTCAGTTCTTGAACAATAGAATCGCCAATGCATTGTTGTATTGTTGTTTGAAGACTAAAATACCATTATTATTATAGGCAACGGTGGAATCTTAGCTTTAGATTGATTTTTTTCACAAATCGAATGTAGAGAGAAAAGAAAACTGATTAGCACAGCATCCGATGATACTGTTTGATATCTGAAGTTTACATATTCAAATTGTACTAAGAGAAACGTTTTAATTTCTACCTTTCTCACCTCGTCTATTCTGAGCGACAATAGACAATGAAAAAAACAACATACTCCGGTACTCCTATGTAGTTCTGTACGGTTGTGTCAAGGGACAAATACAAGTGAAAAACAACGTACTTCAATACTTCGAAGTATTCTGGGATCAAAAAATTCGATTTAATTTTCGTGAATTTTTTTTAAATATAACTACAATGTCTCTGTATTTTTACTTCCTCTTATTTTTCTACATTCAAAATGCATACTTTTAGTTTAGTTCATTGGTCACAATTGTAGAATATCTTTGAAAAAGTATTTTAACTCGAATTAAGAGACTTAATCTTACGATTTATAATCAACATCATCAGTTAGATCATATACCCATAAGACAAAGTTTTGATTCAGATAATCGACAATATTGCTCTTAGGAAGAGTATTCGCACAAAATAGATGAGTACTAATACTTCGCTCATGATGCAAATACATAGCCAAGGGACGTGGCTAGAAATGAGAATATTATTGTGAATTTTCTTAAAATTTTAAACATACATTTTCATAATCGAACAATGATTGATCTAGAGCTATTTCTAATTCACTTGTACAGATATTGAGTACACAGATCTCATAAAGTTTGTCGAATATATGTGGCATTCTCTCTGATGCTTTATATCGTTTAGCCAATTCGTCATATTGTTCTCTCATTGATGGACTGTCTAGAAAAATAATTTTATGGTTAGAAATATTTTTTGAAACATTTTAAACTTACCTATTATGCGTTCTCCTATGTTATATTGGGCAATATCAATAGGCTCATTAGCACATAGATCGATCTAATAGAAACGATGTAGAAATGTCTTCGATATAAATAGTTTTTCATACATCATACCTCTGAATCGTTGTTATAAATTAGATTAAATTCTTCTTGATTTAATGTGATGCAACTCTGCATTCTATGCTTCAATTGTTGTCGTAATATTTTTGTTGATGATGATGA